TCATGCCCTAGCCTATCTACCATGAAAATATGAGCGAAATCGAATTTTCGACCCTTGCCGAGTTATTTTCCATTTTTATGGACAGGGACTCTTAAGTTCTTCTCTTGTAATCCATTCGACTTTGGCTCATCTAAAACTTTATTCGAAGACAAAGAAGTCTAACCGAGAAAAGCAACTCTCAGGTCGGTAAGAACTCATGGACCGATATACGCCTGTTTTGTTTCAGATCACTCATACGGGAACTTGTTCGATATTTTTGAAGACCTTGAAAAAGACCGAATCCATGCTGCTCTTCTTGACTCGTACTCGACAGCAAGCGAGAGTAAGATGTTCAGTAAGGACTGGTTACGAGTGATAGAAATCATACCTGTTAGATACGAGTCTGCTAATGGAGTGGTACTGACCGGTGACGTTATGAGACTAGCGCGCTGTTTCCGACGCTATGTGAAATCAGAAACAAGTACCATACACAGAATTATACAGAGAAACGTAGGGACTATTGAGGTGAGGACAGAAGTAATCGTAGATTTAGTCTGTCGGTTTTAAGTTTCCTCTTTATTTTCCTCTTATTTCAGTTACTGAAATCTCTTTTTGTAATCCCTGTCTAAAGCCCCGGCCAAACCCCGGCCAAACCAAACCATCTCCAATAACACCTAACACGTCACAAAACGTCTCACAGGGTGGCCAAACGCACACAAAATGTTGCGACCAACAATGTTGCGATATGTTGCGTTAAAATGTTGCAATCGTTTGGCCGGGGCTTAAGGATAGATAAGGAAGAATTTTGAATTTTGTAGTCTTTTCATTCACAGTGACATAATAGCAAGGGCCGAAAGTGAGAATATGGATTAAAACTCCACCGTGTGAAAAAATAAACTTTGTCGTGCTTTTAATTTACCAACATGATGATTATTGTTAGATCTTTGTTCACAAGTACGACCACATGAAACAAAAAATACATAAAATAGCGAATTGTAACATTCTTTTCTCGTTTAATTTAAATTATCCAGGCAGATGACGTTCCTTTTGCAGTGAAGACATCTTCTGATCTGCTTACTGAAGAATCTTATCTTTATGTAAGAACAGTGATTATCTTGGGAGGCTCTCTCGGTGTCTTCACTCTCTCTGGTCTCCTTTGGCATTTTTGCTTTTATAAAAAGACGATATCACCACAGCCTTCTGATTCAGGTATGAAATACCGAACATTCCATTTAATCCCAGTCGTAGAAGCAGTGATTTTACTTTTCCTCAGGCAGAATACTTTCTAGTACACCTTGATTTCTCAGAATTTCTCTTAGATGTGTTTGCATTAAGTGTATTGTGTGGCGATTAGGAACTGACTAATACTTGCTGTCATATCGATTTGTCTTTCGAAAGGAAAACAGTGGAACCCCGCTCTACGCACATTAATGGCAGTGCGAAACAGGATGTTACTAAAACTGGTAACGGGGTACCGGGAACCGTGAACGGGAGTCTGGGAACGAGTGTACAGCGGTAACCCGCCAAAGAATTCAACATGGCGGACAAAGGAAAAGGAAACGGAACAGAAATATGAGGAAGTGTTACGATTGTAAACGTAGGTTTCCACCGGCTGTGTCCCAGAGTCCAATATGTACATAAAATAGCGACTGGGCAGAAAATCGAGTCGGTATTATCACATGCTTTCCCAATAGGTCAGTGCAAAATGCAGACTGCAAGACTGCAGACCGGGTACAAAATGCAGACTAGGTACAAAATGTAGACTGCAGACTGGGCACAAAACGCAGACAGAGAATAAAGACTGTTTTTCATCTGATACGTGACAACATGTCATCTGAAAACATACCGAGTGTCACGCNTCAAAGACAGTTATGTGTTATGTCACTTGTCCTCGAAATCGTATTGATATGACAGCTCGCGCACAAACTGAGAAGATATGAGTTGACTATGAAGGCTTGAAATTCTATTAAGAATGACTGTGGCCTGACCGATTGGGGACGTAGCTTGTGATAATACCGATTCGATTTTTCCCCCAGGCCCCAATTCATGCTTTGTTTATCACAGTGCCAATCGGACTCTGCCATAACAAGAACGTCCTGGGCACATGATCAGGGGGCACAGCCGGTAGAAACTCATGTTTACAACTGTAACACTTCCTCACGTTTGCCCAAATTGTTCCCTTTTCTTTTCCTTTGTCCGCCATGTTGAATTCTCAGGTGGATTACCGCTGTAAACTCGTTCCCGGACTCCCGTTCCCGGTTCCCCTTTCCCCGTTCCCCGTTACCAGTATTAGTAACATCCGTGCGAAACATTTGATTTTTTAAATGTCAATAAAGTTCCTTTACTTTCAACTTAAAGTTACAGTTGAATTGCCTTAGTATCAAATGATAGTTAAAACATTTGTTTGTGAGATTCATTATGAGAGCTCGCTTTTGCTCGGGGTGGCTGCAACAGTTTCAGTACTTTCCAGCTGTTGCACTTTGAAAAATCGGTAATAGCACTCTTTGTACCGTGCCATAGAAAACACAGCCAATCAGAATACTGGAAAGCCGTTTTATACTAGACGGTATTACACACAATCGTCTCATCGTAAGCTCCGTTGATGGTGTTGGGCACTGTATTTTCTGACATGGCGCAAAATAGTTATACAACACTTTCTCGTGGTACACCATGGAATGTTCCATTTGTCACTTATCGCAGTCTGATATTTGCGCACGCAATTCACACATCATGTCATACCAAATGATAAAGTAAACGCATGTACCAAATAATAAAAAGAACAACTGTAGTGCTGGTGACTATTCGCTACAACTTTGCGTGGGCTCAGCGATCTTTGACGTTCTTTGACCCTTATTTTTCTTTCGATAGATCACTTTTCTGCCATTTTCCCATGTTTTGCAAATTGAATGAAAAAACCTGTATACCCCAAGTTTGAAATTTTACCCCACACGCCATCAAATTCCGCTGTATTGAGTTTTTCGTTAAGCTTTACGACGCCTTCATTTACCTCTACGTTCTAAGAGAAAAGATGGAACATTTGAATTATTAACGCAAAAGACCCATGTATAAAAAAGTGACATATAGGCTGCCTCCTTTGACTCATCTTCAATATTTTTGGCTAAAAATTCTGTAGGCCATGTTGCGTTTCTTGAGCCAATCAAAAAAAGAAAATCTGGGTATTTTTCCCACACTTCGTGGTCCAGAAACGAAGTCGCTGACGCGCATTTTTTCTATCATTTCTTATACAAGCAATTCGTTGGCTGCGGTCACATCAACACTGTTTAAAATAGATTCTTCTCGTTATTATTAACTGGCTGCAGTATAAGTTTAAAAAAATTCTATATATTAGAATATTTTCGAGCGAAAGTGTCGGCCTAATGTGGACACCCGGAAAATTAGGATACTTTTGTGTGTCCCTTTGGTGTCCGTATTAATCAGATTCTAATTACATTTTTAAAAAAATATACACCAGTTGCTATAGCAGTACAGCCAAACGACTCGATCAATACTACTAATTACTTTCTACAAAGACTTACACCACACCCCACACCCCACAACCCTCCCCCTCCCCCCGCCGAATACAGCATGGGAACCTTCGTGATGTGTGTATATTGTGGCCCTTCAGCACATTGATCACTATAAACAGCAACATGTCAACATTTTTTTGAACAGTGATCTACTGGCAGCCCAGCTCTCAGCCACGGAGTTGTCGTTAACAGTACCACGTATCAGTAAAATCGAAGAAATAAAACGGTAGAAAAGATACAAAAAGAGGGATTTTCAGATTGAAGTTTACTTTTGAAAACAATGTAATGTTCTGAGACAAAAGTGTTGTTCTTGTTAACAAAGTAAAACGAGACTTTCTGCTAGAAAACCCGTCATAAATTTTCATTTAGCACGCATAAGATTTCCATTATGGAATAACTTAAAAAGTTCGTTTCATGGAACCCTGGCGCCTTGTCAATGGACACAGAAAAGAACTTGAAGCTTTTTTTACTAAGTGCAAGTTGCCTAGCTTGCCAAGGAGTGTTCTGAAATTGAATAATCTTTTTGCATACTCAACAATGTGCCAGAGGGAGCTAATGTTCTACAACAGAATTTTTTTAAATTCTCAAGATTATGCTCTTTTGATCAGTGCAACCAAAGTTGGTGACAGTGACTGTTTTGTTTAACTTTGTTTTATTTTCAGACGGACAAGTGGCGACGCTAGTCAAGCCCCAAATAACACGCCATGAAATAAGAGAACAGCTAAAACAAGAGATCGTAGAGTTTTATGCAAGATTTCGGCAAAAGTATCTTGCTTTACGGCGAAAACATATCAAAGAACTTAAGGAACTTAGAAAATTGTCCAACAATAATGGCAGCGCAGGTAAACAATTCCGCTAGTCTTATAATTGTTATTGCAGGTGTATATAATCCGTGTTGACCTGGACACAGTGCATAAGAACTTCGCATCATTTCTTTTTCAGTTCTCAAGTTTGATGTTATGTCCTTTCTGTCACTATGAATAGACTTAACTCTGAAGAAATATTTCTTTGAGTTTTAATCATATGCACGGTTTTCTGAAGGCGCAATTTAAGGAGCTGTTCTCTAGGAGATGTCACGTGGTCTCACCTGTAGTTGGGGACAGAACCAATTAAATGTATCGATTAGCGTATATACCCTGGAAAACTGAGCAGCAAAAAAGCTGTTCAAAAAGGCTCAAAAACCATACTGTTTGGGGCGACGCATGCCTATATCGCTCACATAACGGAGTACACTCCTTGAAGCAGAAGCCAATATGGTTCCCGCGTAGAGCAGAAAACGAACAAAAAGAGGAGAGGACTGGAGAAGAAAAAAGAAACTGTTTTAAAGAGCCAACCAACGAACCAAAAGGGCTCAACGTCATAGTCTGTAAGGTGTGCAATGTACTATATTTCGAAATACTAATTGCTTTTTAACATTGTTTTATCATAATCTACAGACGTCAGAAGACTGCCGGAATTTTCTGCAAGTATGTTCATTAATTTTAGCTCTCCCGTTGTTCTCTTATTTGTTATGTTGTGACGTGTGACGTATCCCTATGTAGATTAGGTGACGTTGCAAATTTTTGTGGGTTTTAATGTTGCTGTGTTGAGAAACACGAACTGTTCTGGTTCTTCTATACAGTTGTTGTCGAGCAGGCATGGCTGCGCACTTTCTGTTTTAGCTGACAGATTTTTTTTTAATCTGATGCCAAAGACAAGACTCATAAACTTGCGAGACAACCTAATAAACCATTTTCGAGTTGCTTTTTACCTTTGTTTCAAAACAGTCCAGGTGCACAACCTTTCATATGGAAATTATGACTTCAAGGGACACTATCATGACAATTTACTGAATGTTTGGTCAAGATAGTGTTGCGTTATGACTAGGTAAGGAGATGCTCCTAGAAATCCAAGACAAAGATATTTTTAAGTGAATTGTGATAAGCAGAGAAGAATTGGAATTTATTTCTATCGATTGTTCAAGACTACTACTACTACTAATTCCTAGCTCTCCTCTGGGAGAATAGGGCCAAGACTAGCCTAACAGAATTTGAAAAAGTCTGCCGAGCCTTTTTCAAATTTACACCACGACCCCATGTATGCCTAGCCCACTATAACACTCCCTTGGTGGCTTCAGGGCCGATGAATTTATGTCTTTAAGGTTTTGACTTTTGGAAGTCATAAATTTGGTGCAAAACTTGACCATCATTTGTCACATGAGTTACTAGGATGTGAACTACTAATAATAGCCCGTGCTGAGGACAGCGTCGAATTTGTCTGTGTTACTGGGTTCTTTGAGCACCGCGAGCCGGCTTGGAGACAAAGAACCAAGTCATAATCCTCCCTCTCCGCCCCCCCCCCCCCCCCCCCCCCCCCCAGCACCCCCCCGACAACTTATTGACTTCATCATTCAGCTTCTTATTTCTATTTCGTGTTCTTGTTTGTCCGTTTTAGATCGCAAGGGAAATTATGTTGTTACCAGAGACGCTGACGTCAATTCCATATTAGAAGGACTGGACATGACCATATTCGATAAAAGAAGCAGCAAAAGATGGCATTTTTGAGTAAAAGAAAGACAGTATTTCATAAACTAAAGACTGAACGAATAATTGAGCTACAGAATAAATATGAGAGAACGATGTTCCTTTTCGTGAAATTTTAAAATATTTTTGTCTACTTTTACCAATATCTTACCGGTAAAATTCCATATAAGAGCAATTGAAACATACACAAATTGTACAATAATTATTCACACACTTTCTTACCTACGGCCTGCTGTACTTCTAGTGTAGTTATGTCGTTTTTTTGTGGTACTTTACTGTTAAGGTTTGATTTGACCGAAATGATTAAAAATTGAACAGCAACACAAATGTATTGGTCTTTAATACATCAACAATAGCTGTTAATGCAGTTCTCGGTGGTTTGTTAAGAAGCGGCTAAAGTTTGTTTCGTCAAATCATGTATTTTATGGCTGCTTTATTTAATAACAACATTCTACGTCAAGAAAGCAGCTGTTTTTGTTTACATGCTTATGGTTTACAACTGACAGCATCGACCAAACCATTCAAGGGACACCTCCATTGAAGAGGCAGAGGGCCGACTTCAAACACAACTTAAAGCGAGATTCAATTAGTCCTGACCAGCAAATTTAATGACTTTCCATAGGAGGAAGGTAAATTCCTAAAGATAAACATAAGACGAATTAACACAAATTACTAACGGAAGACGGCAGAAAACTAAGAGGAAAATACAAAACAGACGATGAACTGAACGGCTTACCAAAATGCTGGCAACGGGGTTCTGAGAACCAAGAAGTTAGAAGTGTACCGGACGATAAACTAGCACTAAATGAACATGAAGGAATAACACAAATACATACGCAACGAAATTTACATACGACGCGAGAAAAAAAGCGTGCAGAATGTGAAAAAATACATTAACATACGGAACAAAAAAAGACACAAAGAAAACACGAAGTAGCCGCAACATCCATTAAGGGACACTTCTCTTTGTCCTGTGGGTGTCCCTTTTAAGAAGGATTCGCTTATTACAAACCACCTGTTCGGCAACGACAAAAAAGGATCAAGCCATGATTTCTTTTAGCCATTACTAATTTCTTTTCATCATACTCTTTAATTTACAACACTATGTTCCAGTATCACACACCAGTATATATAAACAATAGCCCCATTTGGTAAGAAGATATTCTCAGATATTTGTCCACTGACATTATCTTTTCCGAGAAGTAAAAAGTTTTTCCAGTGGCGTATATAGCTCGAGGACAACTGTAAGCTTTGAGGAACAGATAAGGTCCAAGAACTAATATCCGATAATATTTTCGCGCCAAATGGAGGCTATTGTGTTTATTATCCTTCAAATATTTCTCACAACACGTGCCGTTTTGAAAATTGGAGAATATCACTCTGATATTCCCCAGTTTTAGCTGGGACATATTCAGTCACGTGACACATTTAGACCAATCGCGCACGAGCGAACATTTTAATGGTTATATACTACTTAACAAATTGACATCAGTTTTTTAGGCGTCTGTCCACTTATTGATGATAAATTGCGTCATAGCATTGTCAAAGTGGCTGTGGAACCACGAGCCGCAGGCGAGTAGTTCCGCAGTAAACTTTGACAATGTTATGACGAAATTCATCATCAATAAGAGGACAGACGCAAACAAGACTGATGTCAATTTGTTTTTTACAATAACAAGACCCCAAAATGGGCAAATGCCGGGATTAAATGAGGGGACAAGACGCCGTAAACCTGCCGTAAACAAGATAAGTGAATTTTATTCAAAGTGACGCGAACATTGCCAATAGCTTTTCTCGCTTTTTGATTGGCTATTTAAAAAAGTCAATAAAATCTCATTGGTTGAAAAGTTGACAGTTGACAGCTAAAAGTTGAACTTGAAAGCTTGCATAAGTTAAAATTTTATCCGTCTGTACTCTTATTGATGATAAAAATGAGCCAATAAGCGCGCCAGAAAGTAGACAGTTATTGTAAAAAATATATTATACAAACGAATAGGGTTTTTCACGCGTTCTGATTTGTTAACTCGGAGGTGATTAGCAAAGTACTATTCACCTCGACGTCTGTAAATATTGTTAATTCTACGCAATATGCAAAATCGATAAAGTAAAAAACTCAACATTTTAAAATATCAATGTTTGGGTATAATAGAAGTTCGTGGGAAAACTCGTTTGCCTTTAGACTTGTACAAATTATCAGATATTCAAGAAATAAGTATAAAATAGCTTATTTTTCTTGTTACCATAATACCAATAGCAACATCCCATATTTACCAGTCGTGTTCATATGAAAGATGACTGAAGTTTTCGACTAATTATTTGGCTTTAATGCGTTGTGGTATAGACAAATTTTAACCTGTTGGTTTAATACGAAAGGGCCTTCATTTTATTGTTCTCCAAAGGTATCAAACTTCGTTCAAACGGGCTCTATTTTAGTACATGCGAGCATGCACAATATTTACGGATTTTTCTTAAACAAAGACGGCTTGGTTTATCAGTCATACAAAGCTTGTACATTCATAGTCCACCTGTACAAATAACGAAGTTTGACTCATAAGCTTACTGTAATTCATCATGTAATACCCATTTATTTCTCTTATTGACAAGTCAGTTCGTCGATTTGATTTATTCACCTGCACTCTGTCTGTATTACTTCCCACGACAAGAGTCAAAAAATTAAACTTCGCAAAAAAACACACACACCTATACAGAAAGACACTAAGCATTCCCAGTTGTTCGCAAAGAATAGAACAGGTCAAAGCCTTATAACGGGCGACTAACTACTGGAAAATATGTTCCAAAGTATCATATGTTCACATACAAAAAATTAGGCAAAATGGCCACGAATTTTATCGCAAGCAAACAAACTAAAGCTTCGAAGTGTATACTGAGCCTGTGACTTGACAGTCCACCTGCAGTACTCTGATCGCTGTTAAATCATTTCTTCAAATAAATTAGACTGAAAAGAACCATTAACCAGTTAACACTGACGTCGTTGTGAAATCTGGGTTCACTTAAATTTACCGGAAGAGAAGAAAAGGGAAATAATCGTGTTTAATTCGATGGAAATGTCGATGAAGAAGATCAGGGTTTTCCTGTGTGCGACTGTAGGCTATGCTTGTATTGTTTTGGTAATATACCTATGGATTTCTGAGGGCAGTCGGTTGACGGTTCGAGTGCAAACAGAAGATGAATTTCTCTTACTCAGTAAGAAAGAAAAATTCCATCCAACGTCATTAGCATACAACAGGCAGCAGTATCGTCATCTACCATTCAAACTCTCGACGGCAAAAGAAACAGCCAACATACTGCGAATTTCCGAGACAAAACGAGAAACCAGACATCGAACGTTTTTGAAAACTCGAACCAGATGCACAGAGAAATACTTGCTTTTAATCTTGGTTCCTTCCAGTCCACTGAATTTCAAAAAGAGGCGAGTTATTCGTCAAACCTGGGGCACTGACTATTCCATGAAGAAATCTTGGAGGACAATGTTTCTTTTGGGACAACCACGGCATCCAACGGAGATGAAATACTTGTCTGCGGAAACAGCAATTTATGGTGATATCATTCAAGGATCCCAAACGGATTCTTATCACAATTTGACTCTAAAAACTGAAATGGGCCTTGAGTGGGCAGTGAAATATTGTGATTTCGATTTCCTTTTAAAGGCCGATGACGACGTATTCGTCAATACTTTTAAATTGTTAGATTACTTAAGAAATCCTGATACTCCCAAAATTAAGCTGTATCTTGGCAATGTCGCGCGACGATCGAAAACGCAACGGGATGGAAAGTGGGCATTATCTTACGAGGAATACCGAAGCGAAACTCTGCCGAGATTTTGCCTCGGACCTGCCTATGTGCTATCTAAAGACCTTGTTCATCAATTTGTGGACATATTTGACCCAAAGAAGCCTTTGAAACTTGAAGATGTTTACATGGGAATGTTGGCGGAAAGAGTTGGTGTCAACCCTCGGAGACATCGTGGATTTAGGACTAACAAATACGGACAGTGCTCACAAAATGTTAAATTAATTGTGATCCATGAGGCACCGTCAGATTGTATCATTAAACTCTTTAACAAAGCTTTAGAAGAAAGATTTCAACAAGAGATGAAACAGTCTTAACAACATTTTGTTGAGGTATCCACAACGACAACGCGGTTACATCAGGGGCACCCATCGACCGTTTTCTCTGGGATGGGCTATCTGGTTAATTTTAGGTTGCACTAAAAACATTTTATCTGTTCGGTTATTCTAGGGGAACTTGAGTATTCTCAAATTTATTAGGGTTTTTTTTTGTCCATTTCCCGAAAACCCTAGGTCTTATCGCCTCTCTGAAAATGATAGCTGACCTTTTTTCGGTACTCAAAACGACATTTTTAACAATCCGAAAACAACAGACATTGAATTTATCATATCACGAAAGTTCGAGGCGGACAATTCTCCTAAGAAAATCAGAGGGGATTAAAGCCCTTCCGAACAGATAATTTACCGAAACGATCCGTTGGGTGCCCCTATTACACTTTGTGATATGTTTGTATTTGTTTTTCAAGCAGTCGCTTTGAAGGGATTGGCATTCCGGGAACCGTTTCATCCTGCCGCCCATCATTTAACATGGCTGTCATGTTTACAGACGTTTCTAGTAATTTTAAACTTAATCTAAATTGTCCACATGCCTGATCTTTGTGCGGATTTGTGACTTATCTACGAGCGAGTGAAATTTTATCTTTACTACGCAATTGTACAATGTGATTGCATTACTGATAGAATAATAATTTTATTTCTTTGAAAGGGGAGATGCACTTTAGACGGGGACTGGCAAACTAGTGGCGCTCTATAAAAATAAAAATAAATTATAAACAATTAAGAGCTAAAAGGTGGGAGCTAACTGACGACAAATGCTGACAAAATCGATCAGAATCGATCGACTGATTAACCGCTGTGACCTTGGAATTCCCGAACTCACATAGCAAAGTATGATTGGTAAAAAATTGAACTTGTTTTATTGTTTATTATAATTAGAAAATTCAATTGCACCAGTTAGTACAATACAGTGTTAATAAAAAAAACGTTACAGTGTATTAACATGTGCAAAGTACGATAACCCATTTCTTGTTAAATCAACAAACAGTTACAAATTGAAAAGCAGATTGTCCAGTACTACAGTCGAACGTCTGCTAACGACCACTTTTTTGGTCCTAGCGGATGTCAGTCCGTACAAATACTCTTATTTAACCTCTCTACATCGGCAACGGCCACTAGAGCGCGTTCCAACTGCCAAAATAAGCAATACGGAGTTTTTAAAAATAAAAATGTTTCAACTCCGGAAAAAACAAGTGTTATATTTCATCCTACGTTCCCAGAACGGCCAGCTCCCTACAATAGACACTTCCCTCTGTCTTTAAGGTGGCCGTTGTTAACAGGTTCTACTGTTTACGGTTTAGCTTTACCGACAATCATTATAACTCCTCGCCAGAGAACACAAACAAAGCAGATTTGATAGCAGAGTTCAAATTTTAAAACCAGTGGAGGATCCAGACCTTGAGCTAAGGGGGGAGGGGGGANCCGGCTTTTCTTCCTTCTGCGATTTTTTTTTTTTTACCCAAAATAAGGGGGACCTGGGCCCTTCGGGCCCCTCCCCTAGATCCGCCACTGAAAACGGTATTTTCTCGAATAAATCGAGGACGATCAATGTTCTTTTCGGGACCAAAAAGAGGCTGTTATTTAAACAGGATGGGAAAAAATCCTCAGAGTAACATTCCTTGACATGGTCATAAACGTATTTGTTTCTTCTTACAGCAACCTTATAAAAGGTAACATTTTGCCATAGAAAGGACAAAACTTTACAAACCACAGTCCTGAGAAAAAGAGCGAACTCAACACTTTCTAGCACATCAGATCATAGTTAATAGAGGACAAAGAACAAAAAACAAAGGACAAAGAACTTACGAAAACAAAACGTTTCGATTGGTTAGTTCCTCGGTCAGGAGTAAACAGCTATTGTGTTTTGTGCATGGTCAAGGCCAAAAACGAGAACAAAGAACAAAGGACAAAGAACTTTGTCGGCGAGTTTCATAACCATTCCCCTCTATTAACTACTAGTATGATCGAATGACTTCAGACTTCAGCGAACGATGCTCGGTTCAGTCACAGATGCGAAATTCAAAAGAAACGAAAACAAAAACATAGACAACAATATAATACCGCTCCAAAATACAATGAATGACAAACAATAGATCACGAGTAGCTTTCTATGCAAGCGCCGTATATAAATTAACGGTGGTTTCTAGCTGAGCATCAAGAATTTAACCCTATACTTTTCTCTACTTTTCCACCAACCCAAAATTTGTACAAAATATTATGTTATTGTTTTTGTTGTGTTATTCCTTGCAGTGGAAAGATGTGCAATTTACCATGATGTCATTAATCTAGTTTTTCGATCTACTGCCGCTGCTCCTGCTGCTGCCGCTACTACTGCTACTACTGCTATTACTGCTACTACTACTACAACCACTACTACTAATACAACTACGACGACGACGACGACTACTACTACTACTACTACTATCAATGTACCTGACATTACTAATTTTGCTAATTTTCGGACTTTTCCAACTATTCTCCGCAAGTGGGACACCAGCTTGGCCTTTGCCTGCTAAATTACTGCTACAAATGATTTAACGGCGTTGTCACAGTTCTCAATTGCTTCCGAAATGCTCAGTAAATATACTCACTTACCAATCATGTCAATTCTGTGCCTTTGCATGCAAATTTTTTGTCAAACGTTTCCTTGATGTTTCAGTAGTCGAACAGGCTTCATGTTTAGTTCTAGCTAGGCACTTTTGCGAACGTGGCAAATATTGATTCAAGGAGATGCAAGAGGCCTGACAGCCGGTAAATCTGTGGAAAGTAAACCTACCTACTCAAAGTAAAGGAAAGACAGTTATTCGTAAATCTCTCAGATGTTGTGATTCGTCTACAGATAACTGGCTACCGTAATTTAGACAAAAGTGATATCATTTCTAGTTCTCGGCAAAGCTCTTCTTATTTGGGATAACTCGACAAGATTTCCATGCAACCCCACACATTTATCATGCAGGTCTTTTGTGCACCTAAACAATAGCCGAATGTCCTCCGCACCGACTAAGTCACTGCGGAAAAATTTAACCAATGACGCGACCTTACTCTTGTAGCAGCGGCTCGGGAGCACCGGGCAGGTTTTCAAGCAAATGTTGAGAAGAAGAAAGGAAACTATCATTGCTCGTTAATCACCAGGCAGAAATCGGATGTACCTTTTCGTGCAGTGAGAAACATTCTCCAAACAGGTGAAAAAATAAATTGTGTAAATTCTCTGGAGTGTTAACTAGATAATAAGCCGTTTACAAGGACCAAAAAGAGACTATTATTTAAAGAGGGTTACTTTAAAACAATTGATTTATAATCATGAAGGGATAAATTGTTAAGAGGAGTATATCACAAGACACCCCCTCCCCCCAGCTAAGTTTGCTGTTGTTTCTGTCATTTTAGTCAGAATGGGAAACAAACCCTCTCAGAAATATTCCTTGACATGCACAATAACATTTTCTGTTTAAAGCAACCTACTAAAAGGTACAATTTTGCCATTGAAAGGAAAAACTTTACAAGCCGTGATCCTGAGAAAAGGATTGACCTGAACACTTTCGAGCACATCAGATGACTTCAGAGAAGTCAGCTAAGTTGCTGCTGCAAATGATTAAACTACGCCTTTACAGTGAGGGTGGTAAAGGGGGGGTCTACATCACTTTTCACGGAAAATAAAACGGTCCTTTCACAATTCACGAAAAATTAAACAGGCATTTGACGCTACACGGAAAAAAGGAGAATGTTTTTCTTTAAACAAAAGTTGCATACCGTTACATTTTGAAAAATTACGTCCAAAGCAAAGCCTTGTTAGTCGTTTTCACTATCCGTCCACTTCGCGTTCTGCGCGATGCTAAAAGGAAACCGAGTTCCGAGTTCTGCATATCACGAATGACACCATCTTCCTCCACTGAAAATCATCAAAGTCGTTGTCGGAGGAGTGATAACAAAGGGGTGACAGGCCTACACAACTCCTATCCACGTGTAATAGCCGCTTTGAGAGTTTTGCTCGAACTAGTATATCTTTGAGGATCTGCCCCTTTTGTATGGTACAATAGGGGGATCTTAGAATATTTCGCTAAGCAATAATCCTGATTTTAGGGGGACATTCCACCAGAGTAGAGCCGTTAGAGGTCATAGGTCTGGGGGGTTTTCGCTGTTATCTGCGTGTAATTTACAGAGTTTGAAACCTCTGTTTTTTGCCACGTGCTAGTGTTTTTGGCTCACTTGTATTGCAAGATATGTTTTAAGCTCTCTAAATATTAGCTCTGAAGGGACAAAGTTTGAAGTATTCCGTGAACATGTTGGTTACTTGCATTTTGTATTATTACGCTGGGCCCGGCTGTTTGATTAACTGTTGCAAGTTATGCTGCTTCTTATCACGAGTGTCCGGCTTTGCCAGAGATAGCTGTAGCTTTCCTTGTGGAAAACTGTAAGTCCGTCTTAGAGAGACGTTCTTATGTTTCTTGCATCAATTTCATGGAGCTTTTTGTCCTTCCAGTTTGTTCGTTCTGGCACTGCAAATGTAGATGTTCACGCGCAAGTCTGTGGACTGTTTTGCGTGTTGTTTATGATATTGTGTGGTTTTGTTCAGGCAAAAGCTCTGAATTTAGGAGTTCTTCCTATGATTGCTCGTAAATGCATGCAAAAGCCATTATTATTAGAATGACCGACAGCAAGCAGTAAGCGGACATAATTTATAATGCAAAGACAAATAATTCAAAGTGCTAACATAGTCAACATACCTTGCAAAATACTGTCGCGTTCTTGAAGAAGAGCCATTTCATTTTCCCACTGTTTCTGGGTACGAATACAAAAACTTTCCACAGTTCCAGAACGGACGGTTCTCATAAACGAGCAGTTCATGCTTTTTCCAAGGCCTTTGGCTTCAGCTAAAGATTGCATGCCACAAAAATGTTACACAGCTTTCTTAAAGATTTCGAAATCTCTATGGGCTGTGGCAGAAAACGGAAAACGGGATTTCTCCTTGTGAATCAATATTTTTTTGTTTATACCTTCGGTTAAAAAAAAATTTATTAGCACAGTCACATTTGGTAAAACCATGCAAGCTTGTTGTCCTTGTTGACGATCTTGGTCATCGCGGACATCGCATTGATGCATTTCCGCCAAAATAGACGAACAGAGGATGAAAATGATGCCTGGCCAAAGGTCACCGAAAAGCAGACCAACCACGTTGTTGTCACGTTGTCGCAACAGGGATCAACCGTTCTGTCACGGTCACGCAATATCATTTATTACATAGTAGCGGTTGTCGAAAATAGCAAAGACATAATGAAAATCACGGTTCGCGGGTAATTAAACATTTATTTCTCGTTTCACGGAAAATAATTTTGCAAAATCAAGCTTCACGGCTACTATGGAAATCACGATTCACGAGAAAAAAATTAGCCATTTCACATTTCAAGGGAAAAAAAAAGGGCCGATCACGAGTCACTAAAATACCCTTTACCACCCTCTACAGTTGCCAATGGCTTCCGAAATGCTCAGGAAATACTCACTTGCCAATTCAATTCTGTACTTTTGCATGTAAATCTCTTGTCAAACGTTTTCCCGCTGTTTCAGTACTCGAACTAGTTTCATGTTTAGTCCTACCTTGGCACTTTTGTGAACATGGTAAATATTGATTCAAGGAGATACAAGAGGCCTGAAAGTCTGCAAAACCTACCCACTCAAAGCAAAGGAAAGAAAGCTATTCGTAAATCTCTCGGATGTTGTGATTCGCCTACAGATAACTGGCTACTGTAATTAGACAAAAATGATATGTTTTCTAGTTCTCTGCAAAGCTCTACCTATGTGGGATAACCTAGCAAGACTTCCAGGTAACCCCCTACATTTATTATGCATGCAGGTCTTTTGTTCACCTAAACAATAGCCGAATGTTTTCCGCACCAACTAGGTCACTACGAGAAAATGTAACCAATGACGCGTACTCTTCTAGCACCTGGTAGGTTTTCAAGCAAACGGTGAGAAAATAAAGGACACTGTCATTGCTTGTTAATCACTTGTCAAAAATGCGATGTACCTTTTCGTGCGGCGAGAAACTTCTCCAAACAGGTGAAAAAATAAATTGTAATGTCAATTCTTTGGAATGTTAACGAGTTTTAAGAGAAGTAACATTAATTTAATAAGTACTAAAATTAAAATGAGCCTCATAGTAAGAGAGACTTGTAATCGAGAGGTACGCGAAGGGAAACGCTAGGGCTTGAGGCATAAACGGGGGAATACAAGGAGCCTGGATGATTTATAGAAGAAAGAGAGAAAAGATCGGAGAAGGGGGTAGTAAGTAGTTATTATCAATGTATATATTTTAAAATGTCTTAGGGAATTGGCATAATTAAACATTCTGCATGCATAATAAGTGTTAAGCTTATATAGCTATTTGATTTGTTTGCATAGTATCACTTGAAGTTTGAGTCACCGGAATCAATCTAACCGCTTTCTTTCCTCTGAGACGGGCGTGTTTCATGTAGTCTGGCTAACGTCATTCAAAGGTAAGATGCGGGTTTTGTCGCGACCTCCTGTCTAAATATTTGGTAATAACTGAAAGTAAAGTGCAAATATCGCAAGAGAGTTAAAGCATCCTTTAAGGTTTGAGTTTGCTCGAATTAGTGAATGGAATCTATCGTTTATTAAATCACAAAACAGAAAACGAAATGGGTTAAACTTTAGAAAACGGGAAGTGCCAGCAACCACTAATGTTCTTCTAAGTTTTAGATGTAAAACGACGATTTTAATTTCAGAGATATGCTTCGGCAGGAAAATTCTGCATTGTTCAGTTACAGGTCATGCAATCTTGAATATAAATAACTAGTTACGTGTACAAATAATAGAAGGAAGCGTGCGGATTACAAAGATGGGCTCAAATTGTTGTAGTTACTGTTCAAGGGAAGGATTCTCTAACAGAATATACAAAGCTTGTCTTTAGCTCCGTCCATATTACGCACCAGGAATTTGAAAACGGAGGTTTCACTCTGAAAACGCATCAAATGTTTTCCGTCCACACGACGCCGGAGGAATTTAAAAACGCATTCACCGGTCATTTTGGATTTGAGTTTGAGGAAAATCACATGATGTGACTACATCATTTTCGACGAGCCCCGTTTTCAAAATGTCGAACGTCCTCCGGTTCAAAGTAGTGTGGGCTGGACCTAAACAATTGTCCGATAAATAGATTTCGCAGCTGGAAAGGGCTATAAAAATTAGAACTGATCAGCTGGTTTTCGTGCCCAGAGTACATGGAAAAGGAAATAATTGATGCGTACTTGGAACAATCCTTTCAAAAAGTGTCATAATTACGGACATTTCTACAATTGTGTGGCTGCTTTCACAACAGACCGTGAAACCGTTTTTCCAAAGCAAACATTCGGTTTGTCATGAAGTATCCAACACATTCCAGCGATATGGTTAAAGCTACTAAATGAACAGTTTCTATAAATTCATCGTATCTTTCAATTTTACAACCTAAGGATTCAGGTTATTAGAAATTAGGAGCTACTTTGCATTTAAAAGACTGCAAAAAAGTGCAAAATTTTTCTAGTTGGAATTCATCTCGTTGGAGACCGGTTAAAACCGATTAAATGAACAAATATATATATAAATAAATAAATAAATAAATTCTTATAGGTAAAGGTTTTTTAAGACAATTTGAAGGAAAAACTAACGGTAAAGGAGCGCGACGTTTCGACCGAACTTCGGTCATTATCAAGCTTAAAAGGGAAGATAAAAATTATGCGTAAGTATAATTATAAAACAAAGAAGTAAAAGTATGTAAATTTCATGTGAAACATTCTTATGTGCCCAAGGATCTTACCAAGAATTTTACGATCTTAAAAAAAGTGCAAGAACAAGTTTGACTGTCTCATTTATGAAACGTTTTTTATTAATGAACTGAGACCAAGTCTCGATGTACAGTCAGACTCAATTCGTGCGAAAGTCTTGAATCATTTTAAATTATTTTATTCTTGCATGCTTTTTTTTTGTCTTTAACACCGTTTTTTTACATTTTCATACTTTACATACTTTTACTTCTTTGTTTTATATTTATACTTATGCATAATTTTTATCTTCACTTTTAAACTTGATAATGATAAAAGTTCGGTCGAAACGTCGCGCGCTTTTACCGTTAGTTTTTACTTCAAATAAAATAAATAATTACACAAACAAGATATAAAACAAATAAAATTGAATAATTAAATAATTCGTACAGCTCCAATATCAGACCTTTTCCTCTGATATTTGGTGAAAAGTATCCTTATGTGACAAGCCCTGTAATTTAACAAATATTTTTTCTAGCTCGAGTATTTGAGCTATAGATCTGAAATTATGCAGACATCATCTCTGTATCACTGGCCCTAAAACTGTTTATTTTTGGGGAGCGATTTAATTCTTTATAGCTGAGTAATTCGCAATGAACGTTCCCATTCATTCTCTGTTATAGTATTCCCATACATGCTCTATAATTTAACAAAAACAAACATCAAGCCAAGGCATACTGTCATTTATGTCGATAAATTGACCTATTGTATTCAAGGCACATATTTGTCGATCCGATGGTGGTCTGTCATGTGACATAACAGCCAATCATGTTAAAGAGTGTTATCTATCCGCCAGTATAAAACACTGGTCACATTTTCAATTTTTACCTGTTGCTCTCACCATCACAGCGAGTATATCTCTTGGCGAAAACATTTTTTCAGGCAAGTTGCAGAGATATTTTGGATTACATTAGAATGAGTCTCCCTCTAATTTCATTCATTAGACGTTTAGACAACTTCGTTGCCGCAAACCCTAACCTTAACCACCAATTCTTGTTAAATAATGTTGCCACATTTACATGGCGTGGTGTTGGGGGAAGAACTGTGGCTAAGACGTTGCAATACGACCTCCCCGGCCCCGTGGTCGCGTCATTCGCTCCAGAGATTTTTTTACAGCTGGGAACCAATGATCTCTCTCGTCTTGAAGCTTTAGTTGTGGGTTCTTCTATCGAGGAGCTTGTTACCATTCTGCACAACACGTACAACGTTAAGCTTATTTATGTCTGCCAAACCCTTCTGGGATCCGATCCTGTATTCAACACGCGTGTGCGCGCGTTTAACAAAAATGTTAAAACGTTCCTCGAAGCCCTCCCTTATGTCTTTTTCTGGGAACATAGAGGCTTTTGGAATGCATCCCAGAGGTTTCTCGCGCGTGATGGTGTCCACCTCAATAGGTAGGGGCAATATGAGTTTTTTCGTAGCCTCAGAGGGGCCGTTTTAAAGTCATTACGCATTTGTTCAATTGTCGACCATTAGGCCGAACTATGCTGTTTGACGCTAATTCAAGCCATTTACTTTTGATATATGTACAGTGTACACTTTACACCAAGCCGTGTTTTGTCGCCTCGTGATTCAGCTATTTTTGCTGGTTTCATTTGCCGCATACCTTTTTAATGCTGTTTCCGTTGGCTTGATCTTGTGCTTGGCTTATCATTTGGCCACCTGTGTGCACAGTACATTAATGTGCCTGTGTTATACGGTATGCACAGTACATAAGTGTGCATTCGTTTTATATGGCATGCACAGTACATAGGTGTGCATTTGTTCTATACCGGCTTTGGTTATTGTTTTTGCTTGCAGTTTACCGCATGAGTGTACAATCCATTTTGATCGTGTCCAATGCACTCGGTATCACTGTCAATGCATATATATTTATTCGTGGAAATGGGATTTTATGACTGTTATTTATCTCACTTGTCACAATTTACAGCAAATGCGTTGTCTCGGTCTGATAACAGCCTTTTTTAATCTTTTTTCATATACCGCAACTATTTGGCGGTTACTTTAATCTGGCACCTCTGAGGGTGTCTATTTAGTTATATATTTTTTCCCGTCCATGTAATTTTCTTAAGTTCATTTTACCTTGTATGCGGTTAACGCTGTCATCCAACATCCGTTAGTGTAAAGTTCATTTCTTCTCACTTAATCATGCCGCCTAAGAAGCGTACTGCTGAACTAAAGTGGATTGGGGCTGATTACACCATCATCAGATGGTGCATTACAGTAAGCAAAGTCATTCGAGGAATTCACATTCGCTGAAATTTATGTTTGTCTAGCGCCGTATCCTAATTGCTGACAAGTTACTTCTCTAAACAAGAAATCTGTGTTATAAAGAAAATATAATGTATTTACAAGAAACTTATTCTATGCAGACAGTTAGAAGCGGAGTCGCTCCAACCGCCCAGTTGAGTGAATTCGTAAACCTACCGACCACGGACGGACTGATGATCTCTGAATGTATTACTTCTGCTAGCTAAGGAAGGATGTCTGTGATAAGCATGAATTTTGCTAAGATCAAACACGCTCTCTCCGTCAACTTTGTGATGACGCGTACACAGCTGTCTAATTAGAATCTCAGCCCAAATTGTGTTTGCTGAATGAAAAAAAAAAAAATGAAAACTAAGAAAACTGAGATGTTACGAATAAATAAGAAAACAAAGAGCGGATAACTTTGTGATCGCTGTGATCGCAGTTAGTTCGCAAAGAATAGCTCCTGCTATTGAAAATCCTATTTTAAGGTTCGACCTACCCCTTTTTTGCCAATAAAAGAGCCCGAGGGATCTTTCTGTGTTGAAATTGTAACTTAAGCCTGATACGTAGTTTTAAGTGGAAATTCGATAGATATACTACATCCACACGTTTTATTTCTGCCGGAGTAATTTTTTTTAGGTAAATTTATTTTCTAAAGCAATCTCAAGTCGGTGAGTGAAATCATTACCAACTTTAAGTACATTGATTACATGATAATAGATTTTTTCCAAGCTTTTATATTCGGACAATCAGTATGCGACAAGAAAGCAGAAGTGTGGCTCAACCCAAGTCAATTTTCGAAACATTTTTCTTTCGAAACATTGCTGTTTCCGCAAAACGTGCATGCAATGTAATTTAAAGTAATGTAATATTTTAATTGAAGCAAATCTTAGGAAAAGTCAGGAAATGCTTTGTGTGACTTTCGACACACTGTTGGTTGCATTGTCTTCTCTCCTTTCGAATTTCATCAATTTCGACGTTTCGACGTTGGTGAGTTTATAGAATATCTTACTCTCCGAATCTGATTACAGACTTCGTATAAATAACTATAGATTAACATCATCTCCGAACCACTAGCTTGTGAGAAGCTTTTGTTTATTATCTTGTGTTGTAGTCAGCTATTTGACTCATTTAACTGGAATCGAAAGCCTTCCATTCGTAGTCTTTTGAGGACTGATACCCGCGAAATGGTTTTGTGTAGTAAACCATTGGATATTAAGTGAGAACTTGGTTTGAATGCTCAGAGGTTTAAACTTAAATATTTTGATTGTTCCTTTTCCTTTCTAGAAGAGTCATCCCAACATGGCAGGTTCAAAGGCTGTGTTTAGAGAGGTTATTGTGATAGGCAGCGGTTGGTCGGGTCTGTTGGCTTGTAAATGCATGTTAGAGGAAGGATTAACTGTTGTGGCACTGGAAAAACGCTCTGATGTGGGAGGCCTGTGGTGCTATTCAGAGGATCCTGAAATCATAACCGTTATGCAGACCACCAAGGCGACTTCCTCCTCCTCTGTAACAGAAATGTCCGACTTTCCCATGCCAGAAGAGATTGGCCAATTTCCAAAACACGATGATGTGCTAGCGTATTTGAAGTCCTACTGCGACACTTTCAATTTGTGGTCGCACATACGTCTCGATCATTGTGTTATGGAAGTTACGAAGAAGGACGAACTCTGGCGAGTCAGCTGCGAAAATGGCCGACAGTTTACGAGCAAGTTTTTGATCATGTGCACAGGAAGCGTGCAGAAGCCGAATCGTGGTCTGGAACGCTCGATACTTCGAGACTTTGTTGGAGAAGTTCGCCACAGTTCCGAACTTAAATCGTTTGTTCCGGAGCACGCAAATAAACGAGTCATGTTAATAGGCGGCGGTGAAACGGCCAGTGACGTCGTCGAGGAATGGTGTGATCATGTGTCGCGCCTTATATGGTGTATACCACGTGGAATGCATTTTTTCAGGAAGTTTGCTAAGATCCTTCCTAATCGCCGCCCTCAAGCCTTGGATAAAGCCTCCTCAAGAGTTATGAAGTTCATTGCTCCTTATACAAAGAGCAAACCAGGTTTGTGAAGAGCAAGTAAAGTGTTTTATTGATAACTAATCTGTTTTGTTGGTTTAAACATCAACTTTAGACAAAAATTCCAACAATTTGCCAAGTTCAATCAGGAATATAAAAGAATAGTTGAAATTCAGTCTTTATTTTATTTGCAATTGAACAGAAAGAACGTTTTAATTTTCACACCAACTGCTTCCTGTCAGAAGAGTTAGGTCAAACTGTTGCTACTTTTGTACAGTTTGACATAATTTTTGCATTAAAAATCTCGCGGTAATGCTGGTTACAAAACTGCCACTTTCAAATGCTCTCAGTTATTGCCTGGAGTCCTCAATTTGTGTGAGTGAGTGAGTGAGAACTTTATTAAAGTGTCAAAAACCTTATAGCCTGGAAATAATACACCATACTAATTAGGGGACACTGCTAAAAAACTATACTAATACTAATATTAATACAATAAAAAAATAAATGACTTGAAGGGCATTATGTAAAGCATAGGATGCAGCCCTTACAGCCGGTGTCTATTAAGCGAGTTATATCCCTTTTGCGAATATAGTTTGTAAAAGCCTGCAGTGTCTTGGCTGATCTGTCAGCCATAGACAGTTTGCCCCATAATTTGGGTCCTAAATAACGCAGAGAGTGCTTCCCATAAGTAACAGTGTTGTATCTAGGAGTAGAAAAATCTGATTGTCTCAGGTTGTATGCAGAAATATGATCGTTAAAAATATTACAGATGCTATTAGGACATAGTCTATTGTGTCAAACAAACAAGCAAACAAATAAACAAACGAGTGAATGAACAAGCAAAAGAAAAACGAATGAAGGAAAAAAGGTATAACGAACAGCAAACAAAACAAAGCAAGGATTTTGACCCATTCATGTTTTTTTCTAGGCTTGTCTTGGATTTGTAATTGGACCACAAGCGGTTCCCTCCTTGCCTATCAAGGGCATGGTATTGCTGAGTGGAAAAATGACGCCCAATTTTTCCGCTTCTTCGTCAACAAAAATGGTCACGTACTGGATAAAGTCGACTACCAACGCTGTATTCCCAAGGGAGCTATCCAAAGTATCGAAGGCAAGAAAATCATTTTCTGTGATGGCACTGAAGAGATTGTAGACGTCATTATCCAGTGTACAGGCTACAAAACAGAGTTTCCAATCCTTCCGGTAGAATTTCAGGCCGTGCCTTTAACCCATAATTATAAGTACATCTTCAATGTTGAAGATCCAACGTTAGCATTCATCGGTTACGTTCGGCCAGTGGTCGGCTCGATCGCGGCAATAGCCGAGATTCAATCACGATTCGTCGGGAAAGCGTTCTCGGGAAAATGTCACCTCCCACCGAAAGACCGACGTTACGAAGTAGCTAAGCAGGATAAAGATTTCTGGGACAACTACTTCAAGGAATCCTCCCGACGATTGGGCACACTGGTGGAAGCATACACCTATGGTGACGATATCGGGAGCCTTTGTGGAATTAAGCCAGACTACTGGAGCCTGTTTTGGAGAAACCCTCGAGGATGGCTGTGGGCTGTATTCGCACCGTACGATGGATGTTCGTTCCGACTAAATGAGCCAGAGAATGAGGCACGTGCTCTACAACACTTGAGGGTACAGATGAGCGACACGCTGGGTCCCACACACTTGGTACTGATTGCCTTTCTGCGTCTCACTTGGTTCGACTTTTGGCTCAAGCTTCTCGGCGAGATCAAGTACAAGATTCAATGTGCCGGCTGGTGGAAGAAGATCAAGGATTGTCTACTTGTCAGGGCGTTAGATTGGTGCTGGCAGACTCCCAAACGTTGGTTATTTGACAGTAAAACAAGAGCTTAACCAACGCTATACAAGAATAATAGCAGTGTTGAGGGTCTTATCTGTCGATATAACTGGGGAGTAATTGGACTTATGAAGTACAGGCTATGTGTATTGTGGTTTTTATTAGATAATTAAAATATTTAGCTTAATTTACCCGGGTTGGTATTTAAACTCGGATTACATTTATGTCCAAGCAAAAGGTTTCATTCAATTGAATTTAGGGTATTGGGACTTTTGGGATATTTACATCGCAGAGTTAATTTCTTTATTCCAACGTTTATACCTACATTTTGGTTGCAAGTTTCGTCAGACGTAAAAAGACTATCCAAATTCAATATAGCTGCTAACAGCTCTCTCTCCTCAGCAAGAGATTCCTTCCATTTGCAAACAAGAACACTTGCATGTTATTACAGCGTGAGATTAGAAAGAGGGTAATATAAAGCGCATGCGGGAAGACTTTTTCATCATTCAAGCTCTCCCTGTGAGAATATTTACTCAGGATCCTCTGAGGAGAGGACGTATGAGGTTGACAAATTTCCAGATTCCTCATATCCAGATTCAAAGTGAGTCTAAGTAACATGCCTTGAACGGAGGGTTGTTTTGGTATTACATTCAGTAGAGTAGGAAAGATATTAAAATGTAAAAAGAACGAAAACGGGAGCACTTTATCGTCTAGTTCAAACTTCATCCAGAAATAGTGCATGGTGGGTGGCCTTGTGGTTTGCGCGCCGGAGTCCGGATCGTGCCCTGGCCCCGGTCATTGAGTTCTGCTTTTGGGCAAGACACTTAACATTGTACTCTCACAGTGCCTCTCTCCACCCAGGTGTATAAATGGGTACAGGCGGCTCTAATGCTGGGAGTAATCCTGCGATGGACGCGACCCACCCGGGGAGAGAGGGGGAGAAATACATGGAAACTGAGATAAGCTCCGGCTGTATGGACCACTAGGCCAGACGCAGACTTGTTTACCTTTAAATTTCTTCCAACTAAAGTCGGTAAATAAAAAACGCCATGAAGTCAAATATACTTGTATTTACTGATGTTGTTCTAAGAAGTGATTTGACATCAGGAGCGAGGTTTGTTCAGTTATGTACATAAATCAAACATTTCAAGCTTTCTGTTTGATCATTGTTGATCTTTACAATATCTAAAGCAGTGGTTTCGCAGTCGGAAATATCTTGAAATGCACACAGTATTTAGGTTCGTCTTATATTACAGTGAGGTTATAAGGAAAATGGCCCTGAGAAAAACCAGTAAAAGAACAGCAAAACTCTCCAATTCATTTCTTTGATGGAAAATGTTACAGAAAGATAGATTTCCACATAATCAATACAGTGAGGTGATATGCTTCTGATACAGTTTATACAGAACTACAAATTTGCGTTATAGTAACTATAAATGCTTCCTGTCTCAAATATGAATCAACAATCATTGAGAATTCTATTTACTTACAGACTTCTAAGCTATTACAAGAGTAAGCTGCCAGTCAGATGTTTAATGTTACAGCTGATCAATTATACATATATGAATGAAGCTTAAGAAATACTCGTGGAGTTTACGTTTTTTCGCTTCCGTCCTCGCGACTTCGATGTCGCTGGCCGTACAAATAAAAACCCAAAACAATGGAACCCCGACTTTTTTTTGTACATCCCGATTATTCGAAGCAATGTTTTAATTCCTTGGCAAACCTATGCGTGCCGGTTCACCTGAAAACAGCTAAACCGAAATTGGTGTATGATTTTACAGTATTTCTGTAGAATAAAATGCTGGGTTTTTAACTTCTTTTTGAGCTTATGTACTTTGGAAGAGAAATGGTCAGTTGAAATATAACGACTCAGTTACACAAAACCCCCAACAGAGAAAAGAGCCTTAAGTGTCATTAACAAACATTTTCTACACCATAAGAACATAAACAATACAACGTTGCTGTTTTCCTGATATATACATTTCGTTTTCCTGTCTAACTTCACAAAATAATAACCATTGTTATTTTACTGAGTGTTCATTGATCTCAGAGGACGTTTAACACGATCCACCGGAGTCTTGAATTTATTCACTGATGGAATTTTGCTTCCCACTCCAGCCAGGTTAGGGATACTGGAGGCTCTGTTTAGAGTCGCCTCTTTGTTCTCCTTATCTGTGGTCGTGTTAGCAGACATGGCTTTATTACGTGCCACAACAGCCTGTTGATCAAAAAGAAGTCAGTGAAACAGAGACCACTCAAATTATTTGGCGATATCAGCTTAAACGTAGTTGTATCTAATCTCTCGAGAGGCCCGTGTTCGTGCACTAGCTGGGACCATAGTGTTTAGTTTTTTGGCAAGAAACTTCACCCTATCTGAATGACTTTGAAGCTTTTAAAAACTTCTGATGACAGACGGTAAAATGTTACCATCCATGCCGAACGAGAGGTGATAAACAAAGCCGAGAGCCCCGTGAAAGGTGCAACCGAACTCACACTTTAAAATGTTTTAAAAACACTGCTTACCTGTGGTTCCACGAACACAGCTTCATCTGTGGCAACAACAACTTCATTTTCGCTATCTTCAAGGCTGTCATTGTCAAGCAGATCGCCTTCACTGCTGCGCAATGGATACACACCAGTCTCTGAACTGACAGTGCTACTTTGACTCAACTCAAACACTGGCACAGATTCGTCACTTGAAACACTCTGTAAGACAATAGAGCAAGTCCCGCATTAGGCTCGACAATGACGTTATACCGAAAAGAAAACAACCCTGTGTGACCCAGGACGCGATAAGGTCACAAAAAAACTCTAAAGCTCCTGCGACGTGCTGTTTGAGTTTATTGAAGACAATTCATTACAATAGCGTTTTCGATACAAGCGATTACTCAAAGCAGTGTTACTGAGGAAAACTATAATATCACCACAACAAAGGCGGTTAACAAGAGTCCAACAAGCAGAGCGCTAGGAAAACAAACGCCGTCACTCGCTTCAGCAAATCCCATTTCTCTCCATTATCCGCATCGGGGAAAATACATGTCCCTTTACGATGCAAAATCATGCGAGACGTGACACTTAGTGCAGAAAATCACTTTCTTTAATACAAGAGTAGTTGTGATATAGAATGTTTGTTGTTGGTCAGGTATAAATACCTTGATCGGCTGAGACTCTGGCGAGAAAGGTGGTGCCACATAACTGGCTTGAAACCTTTGTCTGAGTACGTCAAGCGGCTCTGTTCTTATCAGCGTTGTTGGATAGTCAAATGGGCGCCTCTGGGGGGTGCTACCTGTAAAAAAAAAAAAAACCTTTACGTTAAATCAATGTCGAAATTATAATTGCAAGAGAGAGACGTAGGGAAGAGGAAACTTGTTTGGTCCCACGCTCCCAGCCACCCCCCACCTCCCCCGCCCCCTCCAAAAAAAAAAATACCTAAAGATGATTTCCAGTCTGTAGTGCACAATCTCAGCACCCTAATGTTTATAAGCATTATAAATCTCACTCGATGGAATGCGAATCGCTTCGCATCCATAATGGCGGTTGTTTTGAAACTTTGAATTTATTTCATAAAAGTAGTTGCGAAATGTTTACGTTTTGTGACGTCTTGCATAAAACAAAACAAAAAACGCAAACAAACTCTCGAGAGTGTGCAGTACGGACTGGAAATCATCTTTAATATCCTCATTGAAAATTCAACAGTTTGAATCAACATGTGTTCCATTTTGTTAAATCAATTCTGAAGAACAAGTAGCAAACGATAATATACTGACAAAAATAACAAACCTGTTGGTAGATCATCTTTTAAATCTTCCAGCAGAAACTGGTTTACTCTGGTATTAACCTGTTCAACAAGTTTGTCCTGGTCACGTGACCATGTGTTCGTCGATTCTGATTGGTCAGACAGGTGACGTTCCTGTGTGGCGGCCATTTCTCCAAGCGAGTGGTCTTGAGAGGCAAGCGCAGTTTTCACACCGGTGAAATGTTGCTCGAGTTGTTCTTCACATACCTGAATGAAAATTAGAGAGTAAACCTATTGCGCCAGTTCATTCTTTTGGAATGTGGTATTCGTGTGGTTATGAATTCACAGACAGTAGACATGTTATAATCTAACCTTCACTGAACTCTGTTGCTGTGCTGAACAAGACTTGAGAGTTACAAGGTGCTGACTGAATGATTCTTCCAACATGTTCTGCCATTGAACGGCCAGCTGAAAAAAAAAATATTACATTGAAACAAAAACAAACATACATAATATTCTATCCAATCGGTGCCACCCTATCTTCACGTGAATCATCAATGTAAATTGTGCAGCGACAGTGAAAACAACAAACTGTTATTCTTTCCTCTATACACTGTCTGCGAAACAAATTTGAGCCCAAAACAGAATTCCACATAGTCTAGACTTTGAACTTTACACTAGAGTCCTCCTCCATAACCTTTGCCTATCTCTAACCATTCTTACTTTCAACTTAGCTTTCAACTTTGTGAACAGAGGATTCACGTTTGACTATTGGTCTTTTGAATCTCATTTTTTTTCGCTTTTAGTTACTGGGCTGCCTAAGTTGGAGCACCAATGTGCATCATACCTCGTCAACTTTGTGTGAAGCGTTCATGACATCCTCCTCGACGCCTTTACGAAGATTTGTGGTGTCATGAATTTGTTCGGCAGCCTAGAGAGAAAAATAGAATTCCATTTGAAACAATTTAAAAATCATCTACTTTTTTCAGCTGATGATAATCGTTTCTTTGCCAATCATAGAAAAACTCGTAGAGTTTTTGATTATATTCCGGCAACTCAGACAAGCATTTGTTGAGTTTGTCAAATATCTCGTCTTCAGGGTGCATGATTGATAACAGTAACTTCTCACAACAGTCAGTTGAAACTGTCCACTCAAATGTCATATCAAAAAGGTTCTAAGTTATAGACAATGAGCAATCAATGAATTGTCACTCCGTTACCTGTTTGAAACTCTTCTGTGCCTCAGCAGTGTTGTTAACAACGGTTTGTGAGCAGTTATCTGAGAACTGCGAAGCGCAGTTCTTCAGAGAGTCACAATAACTGAAATTAAGAGTAAGTATAAGAGTATAAGAAAGTCTAAGGTAAAAATTTAAGAATTGCAGTCGCATAATAGGTGTACATATAGGACATGAAAGGAAAGGAACCTGAACGCAAAATTAAGAAAACAACATCAAATCCAAGGGTTGGTCAGTTTAAGTAGCTTCAAGACATGTTTTCGTATCTGCAACCTATTTTCAGCGTCTTTGAACAACATTTCCAAAGTGGTAAGACAACCATGTTTTCGTTCTTTGGGCTCCAGAATTTAACATGACAGTAGCTTTAAAAGTTTAAGAGGAGTAGTTATGTTTGTACATGGTGCATGTGGCAATGTCAAGCATAAAAACTGATCCAGTGTCATTGATCTCCTCACATCCTAAAGCCGTATTGTGCTCATACCTTCTAAGATTAGTGTTTGCAGTTTCCGCATTTTGTCTAGCAATGGAAGTCACTTCTGTAACCTTGAAAAAATGGAATTATAGAAATTCAAAACTCTAAGTGGGAAATAAAGAAGAGAGAGTGAAATGTTCTAAAAGAGCCTCAGTGATATTCGTAAAATCTCAAAATGCAAACAGAGTGAACCACATTTATCTCGGCCCCAGGAACTTCCCCAAGAAAATGACCAGTTTAAACTGAATTTCAAAGTGTAATACAATGGTGATTGTATCTACCTTGCTAGCATCGTCAGATAGCTTCTCTGTCTGTTTGTCATTCACTTCTTGAAATAATGACATCATCTGCTTGAAGAACGTCTGTTGTAGTTCCTGTCATGAAAAGTGAATGTAAAGTATGAAGATTTTTTACCAGTGAATCTCCTAAAGACGAAATTTGCCAGGATGTCACGTCCTTTTCCGAGTAAATTATAACTGCACCCCAAGAACAAAAACTAAACTTAGTTGTATTACAAAGTTTACAGTACTGACTGAATTATTGTTCCGTCTGAGAAGTGCCAGGTTTCTCTGTGGATAAGTGAACCATTTTGAGTTCAGTGATTACTGCTGACAAAGGCTATCGAATATGGTGGCTCATCGCTCATTTTCTCTACACTAGCCTTATATTATATGCCAATATCAGCACAACGAGACCCGCGGTATCATCCCAGTTTCCAATCGAGTGGGAAGAATTGGAGCGGGGTAGGGAGGGATTGGGAAGTATACAAAAAACCCCCACTGTAGTTTGATCTTCCTTCATACAACTGTCATCTTCCTCAATTATGCATACTCTAACTGGTCTAAGAAAGGGCACAGCTCATACAAACGNACAGTAATGAATCCTGCAATCTGATTGGTTCTTAGCATTGGATTTTTCTATTTCTACCCACAGTCATGGTAACGCTTTTGTGAGCTTTGTTCTTGTCATCGAGTTTCTTCTGGATTGGAGAGAGAGAGAGCGAGTGAGAGAGCGAGAGAACGGAAAAAAAGTTATTTACCAGCTTATGGTCAGTCTGTGTGGTGAAAAACTGTGACCTTAGATTTGAAAATGCTCTCCTTGGCCTACGGGCAGCATTTTCAATTTTCACTATACGGACCTCCCAGCCAGCAAATGACTATATATACATGTAAGCCATACCTGTTCTCTGGAAGACATTTCTTGTATTTGAGCTACCATACTATTCTTGAAACTTTGCATTTGATCTTGAAGTTCTACAGATTCCTCTGCCTTTTTGGAAACAAGGGTTCCTGTAAATGTATTATTATTAGATCAAGTTAGATCACAAAATAACTCCTCAGCATGCACAAAAAAACTGATAGTGCAGGGCTAGGGTATTTTGCAGTCAGACTAGTCTTGTCTGAGAGGCAAACTAAGAGTTTTGAGGATACTCCAAATACATAGGTACAGTAACAGATTGCTTGTAAAACATTTTTAGGGGGCTAGTAAGAACACTTTTTGGGATGGATCATTATCAAAATAACATGTACAAGTAAAAAGTAAAATGCCAAAAATTAGCTTGCCACAGGCATACTATAATTCATAAAATGTCTTAGAGGCTTTTTTGTGGCTACAAGTCTCCGAGAATACTGTTAAGTAACAGTGAAAAACTGTAAAAAAAAACTCAACATGCTGCATTAACTGGAGTATAAAATAAGAATTTTTTTAGCCTTCATGGGCTTACTATAAGGAGGGTAGATTGCTAGAGGGATCTTTGGGGCAAACTTTCTAGCATGGAAGAGGAAATGAAAAGAAATTAACAATCCTATAAAAACTGGTGACTTACTTACCCAAAGTTTTCCTCATTGCATCAAAGAATACAAAGTTTTCTCCCTGAAACTGGTTTAAATTCTGCTTGGCTGTTTTAATCAAGTGCCTGCAGTCCTCTCCAAATGTATCTCGAGCATTCACATTGTGAGCTTCAACATTGTGCTTGCGATCAAGTTTTAAGTGAAGTCCGTCTACATCAGAGATACTATCTTCTACAACATGCAGAAGAGTTGACGCCTGAGAATGCAAATAATTTTCAGTTTTGCTGTGTTCGTCAACAAGGTATTGATTTTGATCTCTCTCTAAAATTGTTGTTCTTAGAGTGTGTTTAGTTTCCTTCAAACTGCAATTGGTCTTCCTCAGTTCAGTGTCCTTTTCTTCGAGCTCCATGCACCTTTCCTCAAGCTCTTGCTGTGTGTCTGTGAAGAGTTCACTTAACTTTCTCATTTCTTCCTGGAGAACAGAGATTTTTGCCTCTCTTTCGGCATTCAGCTCTTGTTGAGATTTGATCTCTTGTTGCATAGCTCTGGATTAAAATAGTGGAAATTAAATTAATAATAAATTAAAGTTATTTATAATTAGATTATAGTGCAGTTAGGAACTTGCTACTTCAGTTAAAATGTGTTAATTGCCTGACATAAACCCTTTAATTTATGAAAGTGATATTTTAAAGAATGAAACTTTAATTAGATCTAGAGGACATAATTTTACATGTAGTAAGAAGTAAATCTTCTGGCTGCTCTTTAGTGGATTGAGTGCAGCATGAAACTTACAAAAAAAGGGGGACATGCATATATTCTACCAGTATGTACGTACAGTCCTTAATGTTGTACATTACCATACCCAAATTTACAATTACTGTATGTACATGTAGCTAATCAGAAGCTGTGTCTACTTTCCTGATATGCTGCAATATCAAGTCACTGACATGATATGGCTACGAATTTAGAATTTATCAACTGAAATTAAAACTAGTTTTATCATCAAGTGACATGGGGATGCAGCTCTCAGAAGTTACAAGTATTCAAGATTACAGCAAATGTGGTGTACATACAGAAAATTTTCCTCAGCTATATAAATGCCATTCTTTTCTCTTGCTGCCAGAAGATCTTTCTTCAGTTTTTCAATTTCCTCAGTGTATTCCTGAAAGGTAAGATAATGGATATATTAGTAAGCCAGAATGAATGGCCACATGGAAAGGGCTTTTAAAAAGAAGAGATGCTTACAAAATATTACAAAATTCACAAGCTCCTACACAGCAGCAATAGGGGAATCTTTGTTTACAATATTTGCCTCATTACCATAAGCGATACAGTTTCTGATGGAGCTACAAAGAGATTAACACTGAATATTGAAAGGGCA